CCCTACTATATATATATATATATATATATATATATATATAACTTGGGTAATGTACTTTCACTATCTATTTCATATTGGATCTCCCGAAAATGGTGAAAAGCCCCATAATAATATGTTTGATATGGGTGGCAACGGGTTAGCCCAGCCTCGGCCCCCTCGTCCCATAGGGCAGGCCCAAGCCCAGCTTAAAATAAATTTCAAAAAAAATAAATAAAGGGGGGTTAGGCTGGGCCGAACTGGACCATAGGGGTGGCAACGGGTTGATCGGACCCGATCGAACCCAACCCAAAAATTAAAATATCTATATATTTAACTATATTTAAATATATTCCATAAATTGGAACCAAAAAATATATCATGGGACCTAAATTTGGAGCTGGATTTGGACTTGGACCCAAATAGTATTCGGGTCAAAGATTTGGACCTGGACTTGACCAGTCGAGCCCAATTTTTTAACCCATACCCAGACCCAAGTCGGGTCTACCCTTAGGGTCCATGTCCATTTCTACCCCTACTGGGCCAACGCTGAACCTAGCCCGGCCTTTGAGTCACAATTCCCGGCCCAAGCCCTTTTTTTTTATTATGCCCGGGCCGGGCCATTGCTAGAGCGTAACCTAGCAATGTGGGCTAAAGGGTATTTTCGCCATTTCAGAAAAACAATGGCAGAGTTGAAATTAAGTGGTAAACAAGATGTAATTACAACTGTATTCCAACAACGCGCACACACCGGACCATTTTTTGTGAACTACAAAAAACAAATAAATCGACACCTTTCTTTCCCTCCATTCAATCAACCATGGCCACTGTACTCTTTTTGGAACTACAATAGACCAACCAATCAACACCTTTTCGTCTCTCAATTCAGTCATCCATGGCCACTGCAACGAAGACTACTGAGGTTCTCTATTCAAACATTTCTCACTCTTTCGTTTTTGATTTCACAGTTAAACCTTCATCATCCTTCTCTCTCTCTCAATTTTCATGAATGCAGGTTGCAGTCTCTAATGGGTTGGGAAATGAAGAGGAAGATGAAAGTAGTAGGAGTAGCATAAGGGCGATGCTTGCGAAGCTCACATTGAACAAGAACCCGAAGAAGCAAGTCATTCCTCTCGGACTCGGAGATCCGGCAACCTACCCCTGCTTCAGAGTGGGCCAGAATGTGGCGGAAGCTGTTGTGAAATCCCTAACCAGTGGCAAATACAACACTTATGCCCCATCTTTTGGTATTGCAGATGCAAGAAGGTCTCTTTCTACATAATCATCATCATCTAAGCCCCTTACCCCGACCTTTGGGGTGGGGTCGATATGAATCTTATTCTATTGTTTTGCGCTATCAAGTGCCATTTCTTAAGCCAGACAATAGGCCACTTGTTAACTTCCAAAAAAAAAAAAAAAATTGGAACCATAGTCACTACATTTTTTTCACTACTTTTATCTATTTCTATATCCCTTTAACAGTACTTTATATAGATACATCAAGTGCCTCACCCAATCATCTGCAATTAAAAAAAAACAAATAAGCTTATATTATATACAAATGAGAGCATGATCGATGGACTAAAAGTGGTGGAATGGTAAGGAGCCCTGCGTATTGCTGAGAGGCTTGGGGATGGGTGTCAATTTTTTTGGGAACCCCGTTTACTAATGGAAAATTGTTTCATGCGGGCTGGACCGTATCCAAAAGTGTAAAGCATCCATCTTAAAGATGGATGCAACTAGGTGTTCTATCTAAAAGATGGAAATTAACAGTCCAAATGTTTTCTTTCTAAAATTATTATTTTTAGTTTTTAAAATTTATCCCTTTATTTTTTCATATTCATGATCTCCATGCTAGAAATTACATGTCCTTAAAAATTAAGTCAAAAAATCCATCTCAAAAATAGATTTATCAAGAGGTCCGTATTTCTACATATGTGGGCTTGACCACATAAAAAAACCGGTCCTATATATATATGGAAAAAGTTTATATAAGGATGCAACCTTATATTGTAGAACTAGGGATGCACCTCAAAAATCTATCGGAAAAGGTAGTTTTAATGTTGAAAAACCCTTTGATTGATCATCGCGACATCAAGATGTATGACCATGAAAAATAAAAAGATTTTAAGTCTTAGAAATAATGCATTTTACAACATATTATCTACACCGTCCATTTTTAAGATTTTCATATCTACTTGATTTTAACCATTTTTGAAATTTAAAATTTTATAATTAGATATAAAAATAGATTTTGAGATAATCATAAGAACATTTTACATCAAAATTGCATACCCTGATAAAATTTGAAGGTACACCTTACCTCTACAACTACATATGGATCAGTATGCCAACTACACCTTATATATATATATATATATGAAGATGCTATAACATGCCGATTCATGTACCACTATAGTAAACACTAAACGGCTCAGATCAAATCTGGGCCGATCTGACGATCATGGATGTCTGATAATGTTTTATTTTTTATTTTTTTTACAAATCAGAATGATCTAAAATTTAGCATGTATATTTATAAAAAATAGCCGAATCTACAAAAAATATCAAAAAAATATTTTACATGAAATAAATTGACCAAAATGCCCCCAAAAGGTTCAAGGTTATTTTGGTCAATTGTGTTTTTAAGAATTATTATTTTTATATATTTTTATTAGGTGCGTCTCACTAAGATGTACACATGCTCTAAATTTCAGATCATTCCAATTTGTAGAAAAACAATTAAAATTAAAACATTCTCAAACAACTGTGACCATCAGATCGGCCTAGATTCGATCTGAACCATTGAACGTTTACTGTAGCGGTACGCACATGTGCGTATATATACAAATATTACTAAGAAAAATGTTACGTGAGTCACCGGGCTCGTTTATCGTTGAGATGAATGTTGGGAATAGTGAACCCAACCAAAATGATACATCGACGGTGCAAAAAAACAAAAAAAAAAACCCAAAATTGTACATTTTATATTTTAATTTTGTAGCCTAAAGCATGACTCCCTAAAAAATATAGATAAAAAATTCATCTTTAAAATGAACTTTAAAAGGGGGACGAATGTGTATATATGAGTCATATTATTAATTTTTTATACAAAATATCTTACTAATATTAATATTTGTTTATTCACTAAAAGTGCCTTGATTTTGAAAAATCCAATTTTGAACCACTTTTTTTTAAAAAAAATTACAATAATTTGATAAATCCATTTTACATGTTTGTCAAAGGTGTGCCGTCGAGCTCCAAAATGCTTGGATTTGAGTTAGAAATTAGAAGATCAATTTAGGGAATTTTGTAGGGGATTAGAAGAGCTTCAACAACAATAAAAATAATAGAAAAAATAACTAAAAAAATGATAAATATCTAGGTTTTGGGGGATTTTATAGGTTTTGTCAGAGGTGCATCTGTTTAGCCATCAAACTGCTAGGATTTAAGCAAGAAATTTAAATATCAATGTGATGCTCTTGTAAGGGATTCGCAGAACTTCAACAAGAATAAAAATCAGAAAGAATAATTGAGAAATAAGAGAAATTTAGGATTTGGCGGAATTTACAGGTTCATCAGATGTCCCTCTATTTAACCATCGCAATGCTCGCATTTGAGCAAGAAAACTAAAGATAAATGTAGGGATTTTGTAGGGGATTCGGAGAGCTTCAATCAGGAAAAAAAAGATATGTATGATAGAGAAATCTAGGTTTTGGCAATTCTTCTTCTTTTCTTTTCTTTTTTCCTTTTTTTTTTTTTTTTTTTTGGTTCACGAGAACCTTAAAAACATTTGGGTTATGAGCTCCTTTGTACTCTAGACAACTCAACGAGGCCAAGTAAATCGGCCGAGTCCATTAGAGTGGTTGTTAATTACGGCTGAGTCCATTTACAGTGCTTGTTAATTACCAAAATCTCATCTATCTAGAGGATCTATAATCATTGTTTATGCAGGGCAGTTGCAGAGTATTTGTCAGAGGGGGTACCGAAAGGACTAGGGCTTGTAGAAGAGGACGTTTACATGACGGTTGGGGGATCTCAGGCCATTGAGATTTGCCTCGCTGCATTAGGCAGAGGTAAACGAGGACCCTACAACATATTGATGCCAAAGCCAGGATTTTTGCTCTATCAAAACTTCTGTGCACTAAACAACATTGAGCCCAGGTTCTACCATTTACTCCCACAATCCAATTGGGAGGTTGATCTGGATGGGGTGAGGCATATTGCAGATGATAACACGCTCGCCATCGTTGTCATCAACCCCAATAATCCCTGTGGTGCAGTTTACTCTCGCTATCACCTCCAACAGGTGCCTCTACACCATCTCTCTCTCCCCATCTCTCTCTTTACACTTTTCACGACATCATCATCATGATGATACAAACTCATAAAAAAGAATGTTGCCATCAAATGGAAAAAAGCAAAATAGATATGAAATCCTTAGTTAGAGGTTTCTATACTTCTATTGCATACAAGATATATACTTCTCCCATCCAATCGTTCAAATTTAGATCAAGTGAGCTAGTCAATATTTCATCTAAATCCGACGCTTCAGAGTATTTTATTTTTAGTTTTTTTTTAAATTATGACTATGAAATTTGGTCCGCACCATCATCGCAATGGGAGGCACCTAAAACAATTATTAAAATGATTTTTCCATAACATATAATAACCATAGTTCTTTTTTTAAAATTATATAAATATGAAATTTGGTACGTGTCATTATCGCCATGGGGGGCACCTAAAAAAATATTAAAAAGAATTTTTTGATAAAATATAATAACCAAAATATCCCTTGAAACTTTCGGGGATATTTTGGTTATTTTATTTTATTAAAAATATTGTTCTACATTTTTTACTGGTGTGAGTTTAAGAGAGTGGATGCGTAAAATTTGATGTCAAAATACTTTATAAAAAAATAATTAAAAATAAAATAGTATAAAAATGTGACACTGTGAATGGAACCATCTCAACCATCCATTCAGGACGGTTGGATACGGAAAAATATACAAGTTTTATTTAATAGGAAAAGCATATAAAGCTTGCCCTTGGAATATTACCGACAGGTTGAGAGCAGTTCGTACTAATTCTGTCAAAGAGAACCAAATGCTTCAACTGGTTCATATGTTTTTCAATTTTTTAAATATGTAGTTCGTGGTGATCCAACAATAAGCTATTCACATGTTGAGTTGCCTTCATTGTCAAACACGTGGCCCTTGAATTCCCCACATATTGAGTTGCCTTCATTGTCAAACATGTGGCCCTTGACTTCCCACATGTTCACTTGCCTTCACCAAACAAAACATGCAAGCTTGGCATCCCCATCGCGTGCTGATACCAAACATCAACGTTTTAAGTCGTTTTCTAGTGCTTTTCATTCACTCCCATATTTCTTCGATGCGGGACAATTTTTTATTTTTTCACATGTTAACTTGCCTTCATCAAACAAAACACGCAAGCTTGGTGTCCCCATCCCGTGTTGATACCAAACACCAATATTTAAGTCGTTTTATATTGCTTTTCACTCCCATATTTCTTCGATATGAGACAATTCTTCTTTATCTCTTCTATTGAATAAGATGCTCTTCATTTGGATACGCCGTTTCATTCACATCCCTGAAATTTCTCATATTAGATCTTTCTTTGAGTTCCACCTTGCGATTGTGTTCCAACATAACCTCAATTGGCTCTTACATATCCCATTATATAAGCTATTTCTATACAAGTGTGGGTGTTGTTTCTATAAGCTACTAGTGACTAGTGAATAAACTCTACCTAATAGTGTACTAGCTCACGAGATTAATATTAGAATATTAGCTCATTTGGAATAAGAAAAAAAATGGTATTAGCTCATAGGATAATAAAACAATAAAAAATAATACTAATACTACTTTATTGAACATTTTTTTAAAAAAAAAGTACTAGCTTACCTAATATTTTAAAAGAAAAAAACAACACTAGCTCATACCACTGCATAATCTATTTTCAGGTTGTTTTATCAATATTTTCACATTACAAGAATGAATTTATTTAGTTATTTTAATTTATTTATTTATTTTTAATTTTATTAAATATGATTGTAAATTTATGGTTTTAAATTCTATATTTTGTCTATATTAATTATTACACATTAGATTCATTTATTTGTGATGATCATATCATTGTTTTCTCTCAATTAAATCAAAAGGCCGAAACTATTATAGACCTCATTTCTTTTTCACTATAATTTGAGTCGAAATTATCCATTCTATTGCAATAAGTTGCATTTTAAATTTTATTTTGGCTATAAAATGAATATAATGCATAACAAACATCTAGATATGAGACATGTTCTCAATATTTATGTATTTTCAATAAAAAAAAAAAAAAACTAATAATGCAATAACGCTATTTTTAAAAAAAAAACCTAAAAAAAAGAGATTTTAAAAAAAATAGTAATTTTTTTTAAAAAAACTAATGCCTATCCGCCGATCTGACCCGGTTTTCGGAATGGGCGATCCGGGTCACCTATCCATTTTTTCAAACCTTGCACGGAACAAAACTCATCATACATCTACCATTTTTATGATTTAAGGAAATGTATACATTGACACCATTTACTTTTGATACAAGGATGTCATTATCATTATTGACCGTTAGATGTGAAATTAGGTGATTGAAGATGTTTCATTAATTAGGCACACAGCCCAAAATAATTTTTTTCAAATGTTACGACACTTCAATCTTTCTAATTTTACATTCAATGGCAAAAAATGATTATGACCTTGTACCAAAAGTAAATGGTCTCATAATATATAATCCCATAATTTAAATTTTTTTTTTTTAAATAATCACTATTAGTCTTAGGTGTTAGTATTGATATATATCAATATGGATACATGTTAGTATGGTACTGATACATATCTGTATAGGTATATATCTCTTGATAAGATTAGATATCCTTGTATGGATAGTTACCTCTTGATTATGAGAAGATTGGGTGGTATCTATCCATAACAGTCGGTATTTATCCTTAACTATTATTGGCCGTATATTTATACAGTGTCTTGTATATTCTTTAATATGATCAATGTACAGAGAGTTCTTTGCATATTCTGATATTGTATCATGGTATCAGAGCCATAGACTCTTTAACCTCATATTTTAGCACGCACCTCAAATCTGAGGTTGTCGTAGCCTCTTTGCCTAGCCTATTCGCACCTCAAATGAGCAGAACAGACA